ACCCAGAGTGATTCTCAAGCCACTGCATCTGGGACTCGAACTGCACAGTTGCCATGTGGGATCCAGCACCTCAACCTCCTTGCCACCCACTGGCTCCACCCTGGGAACATTTTTAAAAACCAAAACAGCCTATCTCCACTTCCTACCTCTGCCTCTTCCCAGCCCTAGTCCTGTGGGCCTGCAGCTGTCCCAGCAGTGGCCCTCCAGGGGACAGGGCATTAGAAGAGACAGTGGCTGAGCTTGTCCTCCAACTCCCAGGTTGGTGTGGAACCCCAGGGCCAGTCTTGCATTCCAACCCAGGGCACCTTCTCAAGCAGTCGCACCCGCCTGCCTCCCACCTTGCTGCTCCCCAACCCAGGGGCTGCGCTTTGCTCCCTCTCTCTCTCTCTCTCTCCTCCCCACCCCAACCCTCCCCTTCTCTTTCACACACAGCTGGCCCCAAAGAAGAGCAAATCCCTCGACAAACTTCCTCCTCGCCATCTGTTTTGTCCTTCATGTCCAAGACTTCTGCTGCTACTCCTGGGAAGTTGCACACATTTCTGAATCTCAGTCATGGTTGCTGACTTCCCTGCGGAAGCGCCGATCTCACGCTGATGGGGCCCTGGCTGTGTGCTGAGCACTGTTCCAAGGGCCTTCAGTCCTCGCGACCTCTTTACAGCATAGGTGCTATCAACCCCACTGCACAGATGTGAGAAGCTGAGGCAGAGAAGGCACAAGAGAAACACTTGGTTTGATTCATCCCCTCTGCTTCCAACCCCAAGAGTGGGACTTACCAACCTTCCCCTCTGCTTCTCACTTCTCCAGTGCAGGCGTCCCTCTCCTCTGTAGAGACTATCAGAAATGCCCCAGCTCCTCCACTCTACCCCAGAGAGCAAAACCACGAGACAGGCTGAACTTGCCCACCCTAGGTTTGTTTTTTTTTTTTTTGTTAAGAGAGATTTTTGCTATAGGGTATGTGCACTTGCTGGAGAGACAGAGAGATACAGAGAGACAGAAAGCGAGAAAACATCACCCACAGGGAAGGCCATGCTGCAATCTCATCTCCTCCATTCTCCTCCCAGGATCTTGGCACGTACACACACACACTCAGCGTGGGTTTCAACCCACCAGGTCTAGGACTCAGACCGCAGTCGACAGAGTGGGAGTCCAGCAATGTACATTACATCATCTGCTAGTCCCCACCCTAGGATTTTGACCAGAGAGAGACAGACAGAGAGAAAGGGAGAGTAAGAAAGCCAGCTGCCAGGTCTAGGACTCGAACTGTCATCGGTTCGAGTTGTCACATGGGAGTCCAGCACCTCAACCACACCACCTGCTGGCCCCGCCCAACCTAGGATTTTTAAAACAGAGAGCACACCCTGCACCACAGCCTGCTAGAGTTGGGGGGAATCTGTGCTTCCTGGAGTCAGGGCAGCCCCTCCCAGGCCACACTGCCCACCCTCAACCACTGTATCAGAGGGGAGGGCTCCTTCTGCACAGTGAGAAGCTGCCAGGAAGATGCCAACGCCCCCAGGAAGGGCCATGCTGAGCGCTTAATAAACCGGGCAGCTCTCTCCCACCTCAGGATCGATCCTCCCAATGACCCAGATCCAGTCCCCTGTCTGATTACAGGGAAAACCTGGGGGAAGCAACTGACGTAAGGGTTAGGCGGGACACATTTCTTTCCAGAGAAAAAACAAGGAGGAAACTACCGGCTGATCTGACCCAACCACGGAAGGGGATGGTGGTCCTTCCTCCCGGCCATCTTGTTCTAAGCCTTGTCACCAAGCATACTACGGCCACTGGTCCTGGACAGAGGTGCGGGAGTTGTTCCACTCGTGCACCCAAACTCTGGCATTTCCACTGAAGCTCTGCTACCCATGTCTACTGAAGCCCATGCTCCCAGGGCTCCTAACCTCAGCCTGTGGCTCAGGCCCTGCCAGGGCCCTCTGCACAGTCCCTGCCTCGGATATCCTAGGAAGGACAAGGAGCTACTGGATCCTCCAGGTAGTGGGGCATTTTCGGGATGCAGTGGGGATCCCAAGTCGGAGGACTGGGGTTTTAAGGATAGCACCGCGCTAAGCCACAAGGGGGCCTTCTATCCCCCCCCAGAGGACATGGCACTAGATCTTCTAAAGCACAGACAACCAGCGGGGTGATAAGCTTGATAGGAACCATGGGAGCGAGGTGACCCCAAAAACAAGGGTCGGGGTTATACCCAGAGTAAGACACAGACTTCCCAGCCCACAAGGGCACCCAGGGATCTACTACGTGTGCATCTGTCCTGTCCAGCAAGGTGCCATTTGAAGCAGAAGCCCTGGCCATGTCATCCCTTCCGGCCTGATAAAAATGTTGGCAGCTTTTAAATGACAAGGACTCATCTTTGCAAATGAATGCCATCACCTCCATCTCCCACCTCACTCTGACACGAGGCCTGGGCGTGACGGTGGGTGACCTGGGTGGCCGCACTTTCCTTTTGTTCTTTCAGTGAGTGACACATATCATATAAATTAAGGCTCCTACTTCATAGACGCTTTTACTTTTTTGGAGAGGTTTTTGCTACAAGGCATGTGCTTCCCAGAAAGACAGAGAGACAGAAAGCGAGAAATTACCCCCCAGGGAGGATGGTCACGCCACAATCCCTTCTCCTCCATTCTCCTCTTGGGATCTTGGGCACACACGCACATGCGCCCAGCATGAGTTTAAGCCACTGTGTCCGGGACTCAAACCACAGTCGACTACATGGGAGTCCAGTGACATAGCCATTATGCCAACTGCTGGTCCCGGACGCGTTTACTGGAAATAGGGTCACTGCGTATGTGTGTGGCCTGTGTGAATCGCCAGTCCTGGGGGTGGGGAAGCGAGTGCAGTTTTGTATTTCCAAGCTGAAGAGGACTGGAGAAGGCGGCCCCGACTTCCTTTTGTCACTGCGGCCGTTCACCATGGCAGATGGTGTTGCACCATCCTCCAGGCATCATCCCGTGTGCCACGCCTGAACAGGGCCATGGTCACAGAGGAGACAGGGTGGGACATGCAAGAGGAAAGGGAGAAGAGACCTTCCAGTTCATCAGGACACAGTGATGGCAGGAACTCCGTTGTTTTTTGGCTTCCTTTTTTCCCTTTAACTGCCAGGGGGTGCATGTGCTTGCAGAGAGACAAAGGAGAGGGCCGAGGCTCCCCCAGCGGGGCTGGTCACACCACAATCCCTTCTCCATTTCTCCCTCCTGCTGGGTTTAGGGGACACATGCACATGTGCCCAGTGTGTTATTCAAGTCACTGGGCCAGGATGTGTGGGCCTCTGCTACCTTAACCACTAGGCTACAGGGCCAGCCTAGGATTCCTTTTTTTTTTTGTAAGAATTATTTATTGGTGGGGCCAGCAGGTGGCGTGGTGGTTAAGGGCACTGGACTCCCACATGACCGACTATGGTTCCAGTCCTGGACCTGGTAGCTTGCTTTCTCACTTTCCTGCTCTCGCCCTCTCTCTCTCTCTCTCTGTCTCACTCTGTCCCTCTCTGGCAAATTAAAAATAAATAAAGTCAAAAAAAAATTTTTTTTTGAGAGATTTTCTGCACACGTAGGGGGCTCAGCTACTTTACTGGGGACCCCAGGAACTTCAAAGGTCTTTGAGCCTTGATTTCCTTGCTCATAAAAATGGAGCAGAAAATACCTACATCAATATCCACATTGTTACAGGGAAATCTTGGGGGTGTTCCACGGACATGACTTTTTTTTTTTTTTTTTTTTTTTGAGCAATTTTTGCCATAGGGCCAGTGCACTGGCTGGAGAGACAGAGACGGAGAGAAATCATCCCCAAGAGGGATGGCCACGTCACAATCCCTTCTCCTCCATTCTCCTCTAGGGATCTTGGGCACGCACGCACATGTGCCCAGCGTGAGTTTTAAGCTGATGAGTTTGGAACTCAAACCCAGGTCAACTACATGGGAGTCTAGCGACATAACCATTCTGCCATCTGCTGGCCCCTTCTTCCGCCTTTCTTCTAAAGTGAATGGAGACTCAGGCCTTCAAAGAGAAGAAAACACATTCACACGATTGCCTTGTGGAAACAGACCCGCAGAGATTTAATTGATGCAGAGAACAGGATTATCACCAGAGCCACACCACCCTGTACCAGCCAGCCAGCCCCGAAGCACGCGGACTGCGCTGCACTCCGAGATGGGCTTTTCTGTATGGCAGACCGATGCCTAAAGGAAATCCGAGGAGGAAAATGCCGGTCAGATTTTGGCTTCTTATTCCGCAGCACAGAAACGAGAGGTGAGACAGTGAGAGTTGGTTTCTGTGTGTTGGAGAGGCAAGGGCAACCCCGCAGCTTTCAAGACAAGAAAAATGGGGGCATTTTATTTGAATAGGAAGACAGATGTTAGAGAACATCCCCTGCACCCCCACAGAGCACCGCTGGGAAGTGGGGCTGCGGGACGTGGGCCAGACGGCACAAGAGCCCTCACTGTGATGCCAGGCACGAGCCCAGCCCCTCACCCGCCACACAGCAGCAGGATCGGGGCAGGGGCCAGGGGGCAGCAACAGAGGGAAACAAGGACCCACGAGTGTACCCAAGGCATGCTCGGGAGAGAGACCTAGAGGAGGACCGGAAGCCACCCCGTCTTCTCCCATGGCTTTTTGGCTTCCTGGAGATGTGCGTTTGAGACCTGAGAGCAGCTGGGAGGGCCGTGGGGCAGCCCTGAGGAATGCACAGGGCAGGGTCCAGCAGCCTCCCCGCGGGGCTCTGGGCGGCTGAGCCAATCCTGAGATAGTCGAAGCAGAATGCTCATGAAAGACACTTTAAAAAGAAAGGAGAGAGAGAAAAGAAAGGGTCTGATCTCCATGAGGCTGAGGTATTGAAGAGGCAGGTGTGTGCCCAGAAGAGCCTGGTTCCAGGGCCCCTGCAGGGCCGAGACCACCCTACATGGACAGGGTTCTCCTGGCCTCTGAAGGCAGCCTTCCTCCAAAGGTGCCGATGTCCCTGATGTCCCTTGGCTGCCACATGCCATCGGCTGCCATGTCAATGCAGCAGCTCACAGAAGTCCACACGCTTCAGCCGAAATGGATCAGGCAGTCACAGGGCGTGTGGCTTACTGTTTTGGTCGTATTGCCTGTCCTTTTCAGTTCCCCCCTGGCCCCATAGTCCCTCCAAGTCCCAAGAGGGCCAAGTGGCAAAAGTGACCAGGAACACCATCTCAGAGGGGACAAAGCACAGGCGGCTCCTCAGCACTTGGTCTGGGTGGAGGGCCAGGCGGCCTGCCATGGCCAGGGCCTCAGTAGCGGTGCACCTTCAGCCTGTTGTTCTCATCCAAGCCCAGCTGCACAAGGCTCGGGGTGGCTGCTGGCCTGGATGCCGAGGAGAAGAGATGTCTGGCCACAAGATGAAGGAAAACTGCAGTCGGCTGAGCATGCCCGGTCGGGGGTCATGAAACAGTCAAAGGCTCAACAGGCTCTTCCTGGGCCCCCTGGGGCACAAGCACAGGCCAGGGAGCCCCTCACAGCCAGTCCCACAAACGGGCTCAGAGCCTGGTAACCAGCTAAAAGGATACAACTTAGGGTCGTTTCTGAAATGTTCCAGCCACTTCCGGTTGGCCTCGATCATGCCTTGAAAGCTGGTGCTGCTGGCCTCAGGGCCTTGGGAGTGGGAGCGCTGCAGGAGGCGGAGCTGCTCACTGGGCCAGGGCAGGGGACGAGAGGGGGCAGGAGAAGATGGTGCAGCAGAGCCGCCTGGAGGTCACTGTGGGCCTCCCCCCTCTTTCTCAACACACCACCTGCTCTCTCGGGGTCTCTTTACCAACCCGGACCTTCCTCTACTGGCCAGAACTACCCCTCCGGAATGACAAGCATTAGCTCCTAAAAAGGAAGGTGCTGGATGCCCCCTGCCCGCTTCCTGGGCACATACTACTGACGTCAAGTTCCAGGCCCCCCCACCCCCGTCTGCCTGTCCCTAGTCAATATCAGCAAAGCACTCCCCTCTGTCAACTCAAAAATCCACCCAGGGCCAGCTTCCAACTTGGCCAAAGGATGGTGGGGGTTCTTACGGTAGGGGGCCTGACGGG